TTTTTTTTTTTTAAAAAAAAAAGATGATCTTAAATTCGGCAAGAAATTTATTATTGAAAAGTACATTATCAAAGAATTTGGTATTAAATCAAAATGGTTTATTACATAAATCGATTCAAAGTACTTTTACAAGGTATCCTTTAAAAAAATATCCGTCAAGATCATTTTGTAATGATTCACAAGCTGCTATAGTACCATTATTACCAACATTATTATTTTCAATACCATTATTTGTACCATATTTCTTAACATTAAGAATAATAGCATCAAAAACACTTTCACCACAAATTAGAACCAAATTAACTTATTCATTGGGATCCACTTTATTAACTGTACCTACAATATTTTTATTTACATCAGATATTGCACCAAATACATATAGAAAAAGATTCATGTTATTATGGCCTTGGGAAGAAACAAAATTGATTGATAAAGCTAATGAATGTGTTGAAAATGTTCTTGGATCTGAAGAAATAATACCTGAAAATGATAATCGAAGTAAATTAATTAATCATATATTAGATCGAATTTGGAAATATAATAATAAAATTAATTTTAATTTTAAAAAACCGACGATTTATTTAATTAAAAATGATGACATGTTAGATGGTGTATCTTACCCTTGTTCTGTTATAACTTTAACTACTTCTTGGTTACGTTTAGTTGATTATGATGAAGATTTATTAGCAGCTGTATTATCTCATGAAATTGCTCATATATTACAAAATCATGCTTCCGAATTTTATGGTTTATCATTTACATTTAAAGCATTAACTCAACTTCATGATATGTTTTATGATTTTTTAAAATTATTACCAGGAATTAATAAAGAGAATATTAATAATTGGATCAGACCTTTAATTTATTTACAAAAACATTCTCAAATTTTAGAAAAGGAAGCTGATTTATTAGGTCAAGAAATAATGGCTAATGCTGGTTATGATCCCGCTAATGCTATTAAATTATGGGAATTAATGTGTAATATATCTTCAACTCAAGTTCCTGATGAATCTCATCATGATGATGGTCATGGTGTTCGTCATTCTAGTGAATCTTCTCATCCTTCTAAAGAACAAAGGGTTAAATATCTTACAGAAAATTTAATTAATGTACAAAAAATTTATTTTAATACAATTACTGATAATAATAATAATTTTAAATCATTTAATTATGATTTAGGATTAAGAAGATTGGAATTTACTATTTGGGCTATATTCGGTAAAAATTTAACCTAAAACCTATAAAAAATGTTGTATAATCTGCAATAATAATAATAACAACAACAACAATAATAATAATAACAATATTAAATACTTAAAAAATCATACATACAAAATAAAATAGAAAAATATATATAATAGAATTTATGAAATTTCATGTACAATTAAAAATAGCATGATACATTGATACAACAAAGAAAAAATTTTATTTAATAGAATAAAAGTTTTGTCCATTATGATAAAATATGAGTACATATTTTTTTTTTAATTAACAAAGAAATTTATGTACAGTTTATATTGTACAGTATAAATAGTATAAATACAGCATTCCCTAATTTCATCGAAGGGGGATAAAAAAAATGACCATTTATTTATTTCTTATACCACCATAACAAACAAATACTAGTTTCTTTTTGGAGAACAGAAATGAACTATATAAATCCGATTAAACGAAATTAACACTAGTATTAAACCTGCATCGCAACTATTAATTTCTCACATGTCGTGATACCGTAGTAATCTGTACACTTATAATATTCAATTATGCACACCAATCAAATAATAAATAAAATGTCATCATTGATGATACGATGCTTAGAAGTACGCGATCTGTGGCAACAGATGTCAGATGATTTATTAAAAAAAAAAAATCAAGATTGTCAATAAAAGGTGGTTGTCAAAATTAATTAGTAGATTTGAGGGGAAATGGTACCAATTTGAATTAATATATGCTGGAACCTTTGGAAAAAAGTGATGGTTGACCTCAATATTAACTGAAATATATGATTATAGTTAATTCGAACCTATTGGAAATCACGTTAGAAACATGATATATTTGATATTGATATACAGTATAGTATGAGAAATCGTCGATGTAACATTCATAATGGCGCAGTAAACAAGCAATACTAGACGGATCTAAAATCATTTTTAATACTTTTTTTACTATAACATGAATTTTTATAAACTTCATTATCTTAGATGAGAACAAAAAATATGAATTACTTAACCTACATGTTAATGACCCTTTCAATGTGGCTAGTATGTTGCGCCACTTGTTTGAAAGATGAGTATGAGTATTGTAATATCGATATCGAATAAATCAAAAATTGATGTACTGATTTTCTAATAATTATTCACCCGTTTTAAATACCAATACTCAATACCACCCTTTTAATTTTTAATTCGACATACCATACCAACTGAATTTGGTCCGAATCAGCTCTACGCAAAAGCCCAATGTCATTGAATTTTAGATCATTTAACCTGAATTAACAAAATATATATTCATTTCTACAAATTATTCGGGGGTCGAGTTCTTTATTTACGGGTTTAGGCTTTAGTATTAATTTATAAATTTAATATATCGTTTGACATAATCTAATGATTTCACAGAGTAATATATCCACCAGAAAGCGACACCACATTATTCATATCAATTTGAGAATCCATCCCTAAGACTATTTCATAAAAGCTTAATCACCATTGAATAAATCAGCGTGATAAATGCACCCTCCGACCAAATAACTGAATAATCATAGAAATAAAAAATTAACTCTGTATTTTCCATTTTCAAATGTGACTATACCCTACGCCATAGCAGAAATATTCGCACACTTCATTTCAATGTGCTCAACCTCAACAGGAAACAATTAAATATTATCAAGGTGGGAGTGTACAAGAGCGATATTGGGAAAGATGATTCATTTTTTAAGAATTGAAAAGTTAAAAACGCATATTATTCATTGACGTTCCTTCATTGTTTAATGAATTATGCTATACAAAATAACGCAATTTATATGAAAAAATCAATTTTTATAAGCGATTTTCCAACACATCTATTGCGATACAAGATTGAAAAGGTAAAAATTCTAAAATAGTTGTAATCAAGAAAATTTATAAGTATCATGCATTCATTTATATTAACTTCTATTATTCCACATATAACTAACTATATAAATAAGCATCTATAAGTTTAAAAAATGTCGCCGGGTGCAGTAATGTTTTTTAAACAATACAGTATCTTCATATTTAAAAAAGAATTCCAAATTCGAGCTATTTTCGGTTTATCACTAATGTCATTAAAAACCTTTTCGATTTTTTTCTCTTCTTTTGCAAAGTATCATCAAGTAAAATTTTCTCCCTTTTTTAATTTACCATAGACAGCTTTAACTAATTGGATCGATAATATAAAGTTTCTGAGTGTTAATAACATTCCGTATTAAAATTTTTTGAGAGTTGTAAGAAATTGCTAGTATTTTGCATTCGATTCTTCCAGAACTTTATTATTATCTGGAACATCGATTGTAAGTTTTTCAACATAGTGAATTCACTTTTAGTTTTCTGGAGGTTTTTTCGGCGGAGGAGAATTCTTTAACACGTTTTTCTACGCCTGCTACATAAGACACAGCTTTCATGAATCATCGGTGGATGGGTAATATATATATATATATATATACGAGTGGTTTGGAATGCCCAGTGAAGTCTAGAGAAAGTTCTTCAGAATGGTTACGCATGCTATATTTGGATTTTCTCTCTTTAAACAAGTTTTTAAAGTCTCTACCATACGAAATTTTACAAAATTAACTTCAATTAGTTTAAAACCCTTGAATAGTCGAATAACTTCTAGTCGAAAACGTGGTAGAAGTTATTTAGTAAATAATAAAAGTAATTGGCGAACGCAATATAATTTACTAATTGCTCTTTAAATGTCTTCCACTCATGACCTCTCTGAATCGTTATTATAGAAAAGGGTTGATGTAATTTTACGCGAAAGATGCATTAAAGATTTGACGTACGTATTGTCCGCCCACATTATACTAAAGTTCAGCAATATTATTTATTATATAAATGCGCTTTGAATACTGAATATTTTTGGAGGAATCGATACTTTGAGAAATTATTTTATTACATACATCAGATTCATGAAATTTTCTTCCACATTTTATTAAATGAGACTCAAAGCGGTTGATAATAAAAATGGCACATCTTGTAATGAGAATGTAATGAGTGATGACAATACGTATCGAAATAAATAAACACTCACGCTTTCCTTGTATGCTATTTATGTTCGTGTCTTATATTACAATAATTTGCATTATTACACTTCCTTAAAGGTTTCATTTTTGAAACCCGGTTTTAAATCACTATACTGAAAACAAAGACGAGATCACAAACTTCAACATAAATAAATAATGTATGCCTTTATTTTTATAACATAATCAAACAAATAATACAGAATATGAATATATCTACCATTAATAAGAAATATTATTCTTTTTACAATAATTAATTGCTTGTAAATAGTCTTTATTAGCAGCACTTATCATATAATAATTCCCTAATTCCTTTTCGTTATTAGAGTAGTAAAATGTGGCAATATTAAACATAGCTACGAGATGTCCATTTTTTGCAGCTTTAAGAAAATATTTAATCGCTTCACCTTTATCTTGTTTGACACCTTTGCCTTGCATAACCATTGTTGCATAACGGAGTTGAGCATCAGGAATCTCATCACCATAATCAGCAGCTTCTTTGAATAATTGAACAGACAATTCTTGTTTTTCCTTATCAGAACATTTAAGGTCAGACCAACCTTTTGAAATATAATAAGCTTTCCAATATTTTGCTCTTGGATTATCCATTTCAGCATAAGTATCAAAACACTTATATAATTTTTGCTTATCCTTGCTGTCGTTTTTATGATATTCAATTGCTTTATCAAGCGTCATATAATCGAATGAATCCCAATCCGCGTTAAATGAATCTAAATCCGAATTAAAATTAATTATACAATCTTCTGCTGCTGCAATTGTACTTTGAGTCATTTTTCGTTCAGGAGGAGCTTTGATAGCTTTGATACTATTGTGACGACTTGTGGGTTCTTCAGGATTTCTGAAAATATCCTGAAGAACTGTTAACATCCTTGAGAATATAGGTCGAGAACCCGGATTTGGATCAACAGATTTATTCACAAGATCTTGATATTTCTTCGGAATATCAGTACCAGTTGTAAAACTTTCCCGATACCCACCTACTACTTTTCTTGTAACTTCCATAAAATCTTCGAATTGCTCGTATGGAATTTTACGTTCAGCAATCTCCCAAAGGAGAATACCAAAACTATAAACTTCACATTTGGTATCATACTTGATAGAATATTTGTCTTTTTTTTCTTTTTCTCCCGAAATTCCTCTTCTTAACATTTCGGGAGCACTATATCGAACACATTCTTTATTTACGGCTATATTACTAGTAGCTTCATCAAATCTTCTACTAAATTTAAAATTTGTAATTTTAGCGATTTCGTGATCTGTAATTACGATATTTTCAGATCTAATGTCTCGATGAACCATCTATCGAAAGAAAAACATATAATATTTATTCATTTAAAATTCGAATATTTGACACGAAAAAAGTAAATACAAATGTAATTCTAACCTTGACAGAATTAAGGAAATTCAATCCTTTAGCGATATCGTAAGCAATTCTTATTTTCAATTTTAAGTCAAGGTCTTGTTTATAGTCAAGAATATATTCACGTAAGTTTCCTTTTTCTGCCCATTCAGTTACTAAATAAGTTTTAATTCCATTACTAGTATCACTAGTAAGACCATAGAAATTAATGATATTTTGGCAATCCTTAAGTTTCATAAGAATTGTGACTTGATTTTTAACATCATTAATATGATCTTGATCTACAACCTTGAAAGCAAATTCTTCTTTAGTTTTTACATGAGTGTATTTTCTCAATCTTTCACTACGTATACTATTTTCGTCAGCTTCTTCATAATCATCGAATGGAAGTTTATCAGTACGAAAGATGATATCGATTTTGTTTTGAATTTGATCTGCATCTTCTTTTTTACTGCCCATCATACTTTGCATATTTTGCATCGTTATTGCCATTTCACTGACTCGTTCAACGACTAAGTTCATCTGATCATTTGTGTGAGAGACTTTTTGTTCCACATTGTTCATACTTTCTACTAAAGCTTCTTGAAATTTTATAAGTTGTTCTACATCTTCTTTCACAATTTTATCTTCAGTTTCAGTATTAAAATTGACCACCAATAAGTTAAAATTTAACGAAGTCATACTGCTATCATATTCTTTACATAATTCTTTAAATTCACTTTCAATCTTTTTAGCTCCTAAAAACTTTTGCACTGTATTATATTGTGTTATATCTTCAATGAATTTTTTCATATTACGAAGAACTCGAACCAATCTTTGTAAACTTTTATAATAATTCGAATTTAATAAATCTTCTCTTGCTTGTAAAATACCAACAGAGGTGTTTGCTGCAGAAATACGTTCCATCAAAATCCCGGTAATATTTTTATTATGCTGAGCTGACCTATATAAATCCGCGACTTTCGAAAAAATGTCAGATACATCTTTAATGAGCGGAATGAATTGTGAAAGAGGAATAGCTACTGATGCTGCTAGCTCAACAGTACTAATAATTGTGTCGGCGTAACCAAATACGGAAGTAGTTGCTTCAATCGCCAATTCAGTTTTTTTTGCCATATTTTTTTTTCAATTTAATAAAAGAACCAATTGGAACAATTAGGAAAGGAAAATGAATTGAGTTATATAAAACTTTCTCAAGTAGATTTCTTATTTGTCACGCCAATGCATATTATAAATAATTTTTTATAATAAGAACATAAATTAGGACGTGATAATTAATGCAGTAAATCCAATAAAGAAAGATTGGGGCGTTTGATAAGGAATTCGATTTCCGCATTCCGCATTTAACATGTACAATAAAAAATTCTTTAAAATAAAAAATTTGAAGTCTATTGCATAAAGAAAATTATAATATTTTTCGCAGCGTAATTGAAATTTTTTGTAGATTGACGCCTTATAAGTATAGTGATAAGATGAATCACGTGAGATTAAATAAAATGATCATTAAAACGAGTCCACACCTTGAATTTTTTGTGATCATCCCTACAAATGGCATCTACTAAAAGATTATTGCCTCTTGATGGAATAAAAGTTATTGAAATGGCAGGATTAGCTCCTGCTCCATTTGCGGGGATGGTGTTAGCAGATTTTGGAGCAAGCGTAATTCGAATTGATAAATTCACTCTTAAGACTAACATGGACATCCTATCAAGGTATGGAAAAAAATTTTTTAAAAATAACACACATTATTTTACATTTTTCTTTAAAATCCTACAGAAATAAACGATCAATTTCCATTAACTTAAAATCTCCAATTGGAACCTCAATTCTAAAACGATTAATCTGTTACGATACTGACATATTAATTGAACCATTCCGACCTGGCGTAATGGAAAAATTGGGATTGGGACCTGATATATTGTGTAATCTTAATGAAAAATTAATTTATGTTAGATTAACTGGTTTTGGTCAAGAAGGTCTATATTATTTTATAATCATCATTTTTATTTTTTTAAAAAAGAGAGAATTAAAAATCTTCATTATAGGTAAATTTTCTAATATCGCAGGACATGATATTAACTATCTAGCAGTTTCTGGTATATTGTCGGTAAATGGTTTACTTTAAATCAGTGTTTCTTTTATACTAAATTTATTTAAATTTCTTTTGTTATCTTACAAGCTTCTTGGAAGAAAGAATGAAAATCCCATGTTTCCATTAAACATTCTTGGTAACTCATAAATTAAAGATAATTTTTTATACACTAGAAAGTTTACTTTTAATTTGCGGCTAAAATTACATTCCTTTTTTTTTCTAATAGCTGATTTTGCTGGTGGTGGTTTAATAAGTGTATTAGGTATTTTATTAGCATTAATTGAAAGATTAAAATCGGGAAAAGGTCAAGTAATCGATGTTGCAATGGTATTTATATTTACAAATTATATATTCAATTCATTAAAATAAGGATTTATTAATAATATATTTTTATTTATAAAGGTTGATGGAGTAAAATATTTGTCAACTTACCCTTATTTAATGAAATTGACAAATCAAATGTGGACTAAACCAAGAGGAGAAAATATTTTAGATGGAGGAGCACATTTTTATGAAGTTTATAAAACCAAAGATAATAAATTTATGGCTGTGTAAGTAGATTCTTTTAAATTGTTTTTTTTACTTTAAATATTTATTGATTATTTATTTTTCAATTAGTGGTGCTATTGAACCCCAATTTTATGCGGAACTGTTAAAAAGATTAAATTTAGATGCAAATTTATTACCATTTCAATTAGATAGTTCAAAATGGAATAATATGAAACAATTATTTACAAATATATTTAAAACTAAAACACAAGAAGAATGGACTCAAATATTTTATAAAAGTGATGCTTGTGTTACTCCTGTATATGAATTAAATTACAAAATACCTGAGCCTACTCCTAAATTACTTAGAACTTCTGGTAAATTAATAAATAACATAAAGTATTTTTTAAAACCTGGTGAACATAGTAGAGAAATCTTAAAAGAATATGGATATAGTGAAAATGAAATTAAAGAATTTTCAATTAAAAATATTGTTGATGGATTAAATTATTCTAAAAGTTTATTATAATAAAAAATCAAAGGAATATTATTAAATTCCTATTTTATGTAATATAGCGTAATATAGCAAATATCCTTATTTATCACAATTTTGATGATTATTTATCAATCATTTGTTAATCATTTATTCAATTTTATCACTTTACTATAATTAGTTCAGTTCATAATAATATGTACTCAAATTTTACAGATGTACTATATATTAAATTTTATCAAAATCACATTATTTTAAATTTTAATTAATTGGAAAATTCTATATAATAATTATATATGCTTAAATTTTTACAAATGAAATAAACTAAAGGAAACTCTTTTTAACAATCACATAGACCATTTTTTCTCAAGAAAATTATCAGTAATATTTTTAATATTTTATAATAAAATGGCTTTTTCAAGCAATAACAGACTCGTAGTTGACTCATTAAAGGTTAAACAACTGTTATTTAACTTCAGAAATATTCTCTTTCTTAAACTTGTAAGAGTTGGCTGATCTTATAAAATATAGCATAAAAGGACTATCTGAGATAGCTATGGTAAAAACCATTAAACAAATTTGTAGTCAAGACCTAATTTCCTATGAAAACTTATATTTAAAGTTTCAACTTACTCTCAAAACTTTTGGCATGAAAGACTTCAATAAGTTTTATCACTTTCTATATGTTTTGCTTAAGGCTTCTTAGCACTTTGGACATATAGTTAATATCAGATTTGTACAAAAAGTATAACTCATAATATGATATTATCACAACAAATTAAATTAGTAAAGAATCAACTGATAGATATAGAAATTTTAAAAAATCCAATATACCAATTAGCTAATATTGTACAATCTGAGGAATTAATCAACTCTCTCAATGCAAAAGCTAAAACTTTTACTTCTAAAGGAAAGAATAGGTGAATTTCTTATGCAGAGATAGTTAAACAGGACTTGAATAATAACTCCAGTAGGTTGAGTTACTTACTTTTACAAAGGAAAAAAAAGTAAAACTGCACCTGTTTTTAAAACTAGTACTACTAGTAAAAGTCACTTTGCAATTCTTAAGCAATACTAATACTTAAGAGTTAAGACTATTAGCATTGTAATGACTGGATATAATCCTGAAATTAAAGATTATATTTATAAAATTACAGTCTATAAATATTATTATATATTAAAAATAAAGTTATTAATTAAAAAAGGAATAGTTATTATATTACCTTTTTAGTGAAAATATTAGTTTGCTTATATAATCTTTATTTTTTCTCTAAGTTCAATTTCTTAGTTGTAAACTTATAGCATATATAATAATACTTCAGATTTCATGCTAATTAAGAGAAAATTATCAAATTTTACATGAAATTATATATAATAACAGGACTTCTAAATATATTAATTAAAACTTTATCATGATATTTGATATGATATCTACTAAATTTATTAGTATTAAAATAACCAAAGTATACATGGTTATATTTATGTTACTTAATATTTTAATATAATATTTTCATATTCAGGAACTTTATAATAACATAATAAACTATACTTTATTTACTCAATTTGCAATAATTATTATTCTTAAATCTTAACCTTTATTAATAAAATTTTTATAATAAATTATTTGTTAAGTCTTTATTATAATTCTTAATTAAATTAAAAAATAAATAAGTATTAATATTATTCAAAATATCTTATCATAAATAACCTAATAATTAATTGCCTTTTTAGCTATGTATATAAAATCTAAAGATTGTGATTATAACTTATTTCTTTATTTCAGATAAAAAACATATTATTTTATGTAAAAATCATTAAATAGCAATTGCAAAATATAGTTATAGGAAAATATTATAAAGTTATTAGTATATATTATAATGGAATATAGATCTAGATTATCCCTTAAACTGTTTTGCAGCCAAATTTGCCTGCAATTTTGTTTTTTAATTAAAGACACTTTTAAATATCTTAAAATATTTTATTACATAAACCAATATTTTTATAATAAATTCTATAGTATTTTCTAAGTAAAAATCAAAAAAAAAGTTCAATTTGATTAATAATTTTTTAAAAGTAAATAATCAACAAATTATAACAAATAGTAGCTAAATTTTTTAAATTGAAATATCTTTTTATCTATTAATCCTAGAAATATAAAATTACCACTATTTGATGCGTCTTAATGAGAAGAATCTGATAGAAATAAAATTGTCCTTCTACAAATATTATGTGACAGGATAATTTATAAAATCTAAAAATCTATAAATTAATATAACTTTTTATCTATCAATTTTAGAGTTATGATTTTATTACCATTAAATACACCTTAATAAAAGGAATATAACAAATATAATTTCATCTTTCTATGATCACTAGATCTTAAGATATTTTAAAAATTCAAAAATTTTTAAACCCCTACAGTTTAAGAAATAATATATTTTCTACTTTAGAACATATTTTTTTGTGCAAAAAATTGTTTAGTAATAATTGCAAAGTATAGTAATATTTTTTTATAATAACAAATAAATATAAAAAAGAGAAAAAAGTAAATAACTTCTAAAGATTTTTTTTAAAAAAGTTGCACAAGAGTAATAATAACATAAATATATATAATTATTATACTATACTGTATAAACAGTTTAAAATTAGATTACATAATTTAAATAAGGGTAATTTTAACGCTCACCCCAGGTGATTTTCACCTGGGGTGAGCGTTAAAATTACCCTTTAAATTAATTCTTTAAATAATAATTTTTTTAAAAATTTTTTTATAAAATAATTTTATTTATTGAAAATTTATTATTAAATATACAGTTAAACTAAAAGCAAAAGTAATATATTTATACTTTTATATTTTATAAAATTATGAGTTTATTTAAGTTTTATTAAAAACTAAAAAGATTAATAAATTTGAAATCAAAAATTTTATTTTAACATAATTAGTAATAAATAATATAAAAAAGGTAATTTAATAATGATAAAAATAAAAATAAAAATTACAATGGTAAAAATATACTAATAATAAAGGAATTAATAATAAAATAAAATAAAAAATAATAAAAAAATAATAAAAAAAATAAAATTGCTATGACTGATATCATATAAGTTTTAATAATGTATAATTTGTCACTCTGTATTACACTCTCCTTGTTTCTGTTTTTACTATGTATTTCAAAAACTTAGAATTTTTTAGTATAAAAAATCCTATTTGTCAATCCTTATTTAATTCTAGTATAATTTTATAATTCTGGCCAAAATATCCTTTTTTGAAAATTTGAGTAATATTATACAAAAAAATAAGAAAAAAAGAGAACAAATAAATTAAATAAAAGAAAAGTAAAGAAAAGAAGTAAAAAAAAATAAAGGAAATAAATAAAATATGTTTTTTGATAGTACAGTTAACTCTTCTTATAACAAATTTTGATATAACAAATTTTACAATATAACAGATCTTCAGTGTGATACAGATTTTAATATATAAAAAAAATCTTATTATACCGAATTTTACTAATTAAATACCGTATACTATTTAACAAAGTAAATTTTATAAACTATATATAAAAAATGCCCTTTTTAATAACAAATTTTCTTTTATAACAAATTTTTTTAAAAAAATCTAAAATAGTATTTCAAATTTAATTTCAAAAAAAAAATCTTTTTATAATTTTATTTTATTTTACTACAATCTTTTTATTATATTATGATCATAAATTTTAATATAGTTATAAAGGTATCATATATATCGTAATAATATAATTATTGCTTAATTTTTATTAATTCTTTATTTCTTTTTTAAGTGCATTGTTTTAGAAATTTAGTTAAAAATAAAGTAAGCAACTGTTATTTCTTTTATTTTATTTTGATTATATAGAATATAGATATAATTAATACATTAGATATATTTTTAAAATATATATTGATTGTTATATTAAAATTCAAAATAAATGGCTTAAATATATTATTTTCTTAAACTTATATTAATTTATTAATTTACTAATTTTTTATCCAATACAGGTCGAAAAGTAAAAAATCAGGTAACTGATTGGTAACTAATTGGCATTTTCGCCAAATACCGTTACCAATCAGACAGTTTGCTAACTTTTGATCTAATGATCAGAAAGGAATGAAATATAACTCATTAGAATCGTCTCAACAAGATGAATCTAATTATACATGTCACTCAAATTATTTTTGGCTGCCATAATTATAAGTAAAATCCAAAATTCAATTATGGCATCCCAAATTATTTTGGCACTTTACAAGGACCCACCCCGCTTACTTCTAATAAAGATCTCTGGGCAAAATTTTAGATTTACTAGTAATTTTACCAACCTTTCTTATCTCATAATTTTACCATATATATATAGTAACCTTTTAAAATTATATTAAATTTTACCTTAGATTTTCAGAGACCTAAATTTTTTTAATTATTAAATAAACAAAATATTTTATAATAATTACAATAAATTTTAAAAATTTTTTATTTTTAATAAGTTTAATTCTTATTCTTTAAAGATAAATAACTTTTATTAGTAAAAAAAGTTACTTTGAATTACAAAAATACTATAAAAAAATTTTAAAGATACACATCTTTAACTTTACTTCAAAACTATTATTCACTTACTTTCTTTAAAAAAATATAATTAATTTTTTTTAAAAAAAAAATAAATTCGTAATTGGTATTATTATGAAAAAATGCTCGTACCCCATAATTATTAATCAAACTGATATGAAAATATTTATATAAATATTTTCGACCTTGCCGAACAACTTTACTTAAGCATAAAAAAGTGATTTCATTTGACCAAAGTGCCTAAATTACGCCCTAAAATTACTGATCAGGAAATAAAAAAAAATTAAAAGTGCAAAAATTGCTCGTATTCCGTAAATATTAAACTGATTCTTATGAAAATTAATATTTAGGTAGTTTCGACCTCGCCGAACAATATTACTTAAGCTTAAAAAGGTGATTTCATTTGACTAAAATGCCCAAATTACGCTCCGAATTTAATAAACAAAAAACGTAAATTTTAAGT